TGTGTGTGTGTGTGTGTGTATATATATATATATATATATATATATATATATATATAAAATCTGCCTACCTTAGAATGTACAAAATATATACAAGTGTTGGAGCATTTGCTTAGCGTGCACAAGCCCTGGGTTCAATCCACAGCACACTCATACATATACACACACATATACACACACAAGTACAGGACCATAAATTAAGTCAAACTATACATTGAATATTTATGTAAAAGAATAAAATATAACAATTTCAAATATGTGTAATATGTAACTATGCAATCAGAAAATCAGAAGAGAGAGCATGAAAGAAACTTCACAGGTGWTATGAACTACAGATTGAATAAATAAGAAAAGAAATACGTGAAATTGTTAAGAAATGTTTGTAAGTCATTCTCCCTCTGAATTATAAACTACCAAGATTTTTTTGTGTGTATGTTTTTTTGAGTGTGGTGTACAAAATTATAAAATATGCTAAAAGTTCTCTTTTCTGCAAAAACTTTTAGACAACTGCCCATCTCCTATATACAACTCTCATGTTTATTTTTATTAAAACATTTTTTTAGTTGTTGATGGACATTTATTGTATTTATTTGTATGGTGCTGAGAATCGAACCCAGTGCTTCACACATGCTAGGCCCCTCTCATGTATATTTGAATATTTTTTTGTATTCCAGGGCTTTTCAAAATAACAGYTTAATTTTTTTAATGAACAAATTACATTATTCCATGCCACTTTGGTTGTAAGCAATCTCAATCTCCAATTCTCTTCCAAACATACATATTTAGTTTTCATTTTATTCATGAGTAAAACCTTAACCTATATACTTCAAGTGAAATTTTAGGGGAAAAATACTGTTCAAAAACCTAGATAATGCATTCCTTTGTTGGTGCTAAATATAGTCATCTCAAGATGACATACATTTTGACAATGATCTGCCTTACATGTCAAATTTTCAAAAATAGCACAGATTCTCATTTTAAAGTGAGCAGGAAAAATTGCTACTCACTATTTTAATTGAAAATGGATTTGAAAGTGAAAATTGCCAATTAAAACTAGATTACATCAGTAACCATAAAAAGGAAAACTGAATTTAAAATAATTTTGTTGTGGTTTTTGCTTAGGGCTCTTTAAGTGAGTTGTTGGCAGGTAGAATAAAGAATTGCACACTATTTTAAAAAAATTATTCATGGAAGCATCACCAAAATATAAAATACCTTCAGAAATAGATGCTAATAGCTGTGAGGAAGAAGAAGTTTAAACCAGTTACATCAGTAATCAGAGTTCATTTATACAAAATATACCTTCCTCTAAAAACCCTTTCCTTCATTTGATTACACTTTTTTTTTTCTTAGCAATACTCTAAAACTCAAAAGAACTTCAGAGATATCTATGTTTCAAGTTTCCTTATGGCAACAATTTAACCCATAAAAGGATTTTAGGGGTGCAAATTATGCGGTCCACTCAATAATGTGTGACTAAATTGGTATAAATACTTAAACTTATTTAATCACACTATCCACCACATACTTATGTTATGACTGGAAGACCATTGGGCCCGTATTATATGAACTCATTAACAAAATTTAGCYGATGAATGATGTTCTCATCGCTTTGGTCAGATAACTAACTTCTTTCTATGGTTTACTTCTTTTCTCCACCTGCCTCTTTCTCAAGGACAGACATTTTGTTAGGACATATCCTCATGCTATTTTTACCGTCTTATCTCTCTCTCCCAACTCTTTGTTCACGWTGTAGCCTTTAATAAATATAAAATAAATATCTTGAAGTCATTGCAATAACCAACTAAACACTCAATTTGATTACTTTTCTTGCAAATGTCAATAATAATAAATATTTAGTATTTATAGAACGTTTCCAGTTCACAAAGACCAGYTGGCATTATCAAATGCATATATAGACAAGGGACTTCTCAAGAGGTTACTACATTCTTCTCTTCAACTTTGAGCTCTACTTGCTCCATCTCCAGCATCCCACGTCGGGTAGACTTAAAAAAAAAAAAACCCACCATCCCCCACCAACAACAAAAAACAGTTTTGGAGATGATAGGCTGTTAAATCACATATTTCATTCCCAGCCTCCACAGGGGCCGATCAGGAATGATTCTTAAATAATGGCACTGCTGGTGGAGACGTAGACCTCTGGGGCGCGTGGCGGGGGATCGCAGTGAACTTTATCCTCTCGGACCCCAAAGGGACAAGCAAGGGGACAGGCACCCACTCTTTTCCTGCAGTAGTACAGGAACGCATCCAAAACACAACCGATAAGGCAAGGCAGAGAAGAAGCAAGGGAGGGGAGCAGGGAATCGCAATCAGAAGCCAGAGGCAGGAACACCGAGATGGCGAGGCCAACCCGAGCCCACAGGACGCAGCCCCGAGGGTCGCAGCCTTCGGGCCCGAAACCGAAGCCTACTTACAGCTGGATGGAACCCGGTGCGCTCTAGTGCTGCAGCGGAGCCGGCCAGGAGCCTGGGCGTCCGGAGCGCCTCTTTGCTGTCGCTGCTTCCACAAGCGCCAGGGGACCCGACACCTCGGTCTTCGCCACCCCCATTCCACGTTACCCCAAACCCTCTTACCCTTCAGGAACTGGTGACAAGCTTAGGTCCTCTTTGAGTGCGGAGAGATTGTGTGCGTCCGGCGCTTGGGTGTGGGTAGGGGTCTGGGAGTTCTGACCGCAGCCACTGCTGCTCCAGTCGCTGGGAGCCCTCTGGCTGCCGCCACCGCCGCCGCCGTCCCCAGCAGCAAGTTTCCATAAAAGTCCTGGTGCGCAGCCTGTTCCCGCATTCCAGACGGGCCCAGCGCCGGCTGCAGCTGTTCCAAAACACAAGGCCAGTTCCCCCACCCCCCCCACCCCCACCGTATCACCCAGAGAAGGGTGGAGAGTCCTGGAGAAAGGCGAGCGAGCGGGCGGTGGCTGCCAACTTTCCGCCAGAACTTGCCTGTTGCCCGGCCATGAGTGCCTGAACTGATCCCCAACCTTGGGCCTGCCTCCACCTACAGCAGGGCCCAGAGAAGTGAGACTGCCTGTCCCATGGGAAAGGAATGATGCTAGAATGATCATCCCCAGACTGCTTCCTTACGACCTGTCTGCCCACTTCTCTCATTTTTCTACCTACTTTTTTTTTTTTTTGGTACCAGGGATTGAACCCAGGGGCGTTTAGCCACTGAGCCACATCACATCCCCAGCCCTTTTTTGTATTTTATTTAGAGACAGGGTCTCCCTGAGTTGCTAAGTGTCTGGCCAAGTTGCTGAGGCTGGCTTTGAATTCACGATCCTTCAGCCTCCTGAGCGCTGGGGTTACAGGCGTGGGCCACCACACTCAGCAACCTGTTTTCATTTCTAATCAAATAGGGAAGYTATTATTATTATTGTTGTTGTTGTTATTTGTGGTGCTGGGGATTGAACCCAGGGCCTTGTGCATGCAAGGCAAGCACTTCACCAACTGAGAAAAGGAGCTATAGCCTCAGCCCTAGCGTTGACTTTTGATCAGCTTTTCCTCTGTTACCGAGAGCCTGGTTGRACAACCCCAGAACACTTCATCAGTTTATTGTTCTCTTTTTCTTGAGCTCTGGTTTTTAACTCCAATAAGTTGATAGAAAAAAAGTTGGAGAAGGAAAAAGAATATAATTAATTTTTGTATGTGTGTTTTGTAGTAATTTTCACTCTTCCTTAACTGAAGGCAAATCATCTCTGGTTTTCCTAAACGTTCATAAAGGCATCTGTGAGTATTAGCCATCCCCCCCCCTTTTTTTTTTTCAACTTGGATCACTAGCCTGTGAATTAAATCCATCAGACAACATCATATTAGATTGTGAAATACACATCCAGAAGAGGCATTTTTTGGTGGGGGAGATTACTGCATTTTAAATAAAAAAAAAAAAATCAAACTGATATCCAGACAGATACACCAAGAACAAAGGTAACTACTTGCACTTCAGGCTCCTGGCAGTACTCAGGTCATATTTCAGGGATGTCAAAAGACCTTTTGCTCATAAATATATCTGTTTCCCATCCCCATTCCCACACTATTTATCAGGATGAAAATTCTTTTTTTCTTTATTAAGTTATTTATTTATTCTAATTTGTTATAAATGATGGCAGAATGCAATTCATTTCATATTACACATATAGAGCACAATTTTTCAAATCATTGGTTGTACACAAAGTATTTTCACACCATTCGTGTCTTCATAAATGTGCTTAGGGTAATGATGTATAACTCATTCCACCATCATTCTTACCCTCTTGCTCCCTCCCTCACCTTTGCCCTATCTAAAGTTCCTCCATTCCTACCATGCTCCCACCATTGCCATTATGAGCCAGCATCCTCAAAGAAAACATTCGGCCTTTTTTTGGGGGGGATTGGCTTACTTCACTTAGCATTATATTCTCCAACTCCATCCATTTACCTGCAAATGCCATGACTTTATTCTCATTTAATGTTAAGTAATTGTTCCATTGTGTATATATACCAAAGTTTCCCTATCTGTTCATCTACTGAAGAGCATCTGGGTTGGTTCCACAATTTAGCTATTGTGAATTGTGCTGCTATAAACATTGATATGGCTGACTCTCTGTAGTGTGATGTTTTTAAGTCCTTTGGGTATAGGCTGAGGAGAGAGATAGCTAGGTCAAATGGTGGTTCCACTCCCAGTTATCCAAGGAATCTCCATGCTGCTTTCCAGATTGGCTGCACCAATTCACAGTCCCACCAGCAATGTATGAGTGTACCTTTCTCCCCACATCCTCGCCAACACTTATTGTTGTCTTCATAATAGCTGCCATTGTGACTGGAGTGAGATGTTTTGATTTGCATTTCTCTAACTGCTAGAGATGTTGAACATTTTTTCATATATTTGTTGATTGATTGTATATCATCTTCTGAGAAGTGTCTGTTCAGGTCCTTGGCCCATTTATTGATTGGGTTACTTATTTTTTTGGTGCCTAGATTTTTGAGTTCTTTATATACCCTAGAGTTTAGTGATCTATCTGATGTGCAGGCAGTAAAAACTTGCTCCCAAGCTGCAGGATCCCTATTCACCTCACTGATTATTTCTTTTGCTGAGAAGAAGCTTTTTAGTTGGAATCCATCCCATTTATCGATTCTTGGTTTTAATTCTTGCGCTACGGGTGTCTAAATAAGAAAGTTGGGGCCTAATCCCACATAATGGAGATTTGGGCCTACTTTTTCTTCTATTAGGCGCAAGGTCTCTGGTAATTCCTAGGTCCTTGATCACTTTGAGTTGAGTTTTGTGCATGGTGAGAGATAAATTCTTTTAAGATGAGTAAGGCAACCAAACTAGGTGCCCTTCAACAGATGAATGGATAAAGAAAATCTGGTATAGATACACAATGGAATAATATTTTCTTTATTTTATTTACTTATTTATATGTGGTGCTGAGAATTGAACCCAATGCCTCACACGTGCTAGGCAAGTGCTGGCTCTACCACAGAGCCATAACCCTAGCTCTACTCATCCATAAAAAGGAATGAAATCATGGCATCTGTTGGTAAATGGATGGAACTGGAGACTATCATGCTAAGTGAAATAAGCCAATCCCCCCAAAACAAAGGCCAAATGTTCTGATATACGGATGCTAACACACAATAAGGCTGGGGGTGGGGTGGAATAGAAGTACTTTGGATTAGACAAGGGTGAATGAAGGGAAGAGAAGGAGGATGGGAATAGAAAAAAGTAAAATGAATGGAATATAATTTTCCTATGTTCATACATGAATAAACTCCACATCATGTACAACCACAAGAATGGGAAATTATATGTCATGTATGTATAACATGTCAAAATACATTCTACTTTCACGTATAACTAAAAAGAAGAAATAAAAAAAAAGACAGGTAACATATTCATTCCTCAGTGAAGCTCTAAGTTGGCAATTAAAATGGTTAAATACAGATAGTGATGGGTGGTTGGTATTATGTAGCTTGCCCCTGCGCTCCCTTCAGTATCCTCACCTTGGCCTTGGTTAGTTCATGGTCATTCTGGCTGCATGGCTTTTCACAAGGTATTCCTTCAGCATGACATCCTCTTCCCCCATTCTTCACCTAACTTCCACATATCCTTTGGAATCACCACTTAAATATCACTTCCTCATGTTTACATGGCTCACTGCCTGCTACAGTCTGGATATGGTTTACAATATCTGTATGTGCTCATCCCATCCTTTTCCTCTCTATTCATATCAATTTATAACTATATATTTTTGTGATTTAAAAAAACTGAATAGGAGCTTTCTAATTTTGTGTTTCTCAACAGATTCACTATATTAAAAAAGCTCTCCATTCTTTCTAAAAAATGCTGAAAACTACCCACCGCCTGCAAGGCCTACTTACTCACCAATTTATCACCCTTTCAACAAATTATCAGTTTTAGATACTGAAGATACAGCAGGAACAAAATGAATAAAGTTCCCATTCTCGTGGAACATAAATTCTAATAGAAGACGGATAAGCAAATAAATGACATACGTAGTACTTAGTGATATGCAATATTTATAAAATGAGCGGGAAAGTAGGGAACATCAAGAATAGGTGGGGAGTGAATGTTATAATTTTAGATAGAGCAACTAGAGAAAGCCTCAAGTGAGTAAAACTATTAAAAGTGAGGCAATGTATTAGTTCATTTCCTATTACTGTAACAAAATATCTGAGGCCAGATAACTCTAAAGAAAGGAGGTTTATTTAGCTCACAGTTCTGAAGTTTCAGGGCAAAGTTTCAGGGCAAAGTTTGGCTCTGGTGAGGACATCATGACAGATGGCATCACAATGGCACAGAGTTTGTGGGAGAGGGTGAGATCACACAGTGAGACAGGGAGCCAGAGTGTAGGGTGGACCAATAATGATCTCTCACTAAGCCCTACCTCTTAAAGGTTCTACTACCTCTTAACATTGTATGGGGACCAAACTTCCAACACATGAACTTTTTTTTTATATGAATTTTTCAGTTTTTATTCATTTATTTATATGCAGTGCTGAGAATTGAATCCAGTGCCTCACACAAGTGAGGCATGTGTTCTACCGCTAAGCCACAATCCCAGTCCACAAAACATGAACTTTTGAATATTGTAAACCATATCCAGACTGTAGCAGGCAGTGAGCCATGTAAACATCTGAAGACTGGACCAAGGAGAGATACAAAGGCCCAGAGAAGGATCAAGGAAGCTTGTGTGGGTGAAGCTTGAGTACATGAGGAGTAAAATAACAAGAGGTGGGCTGGGGCAGGGGATGAGGGTAAAACCCTTTCTRTAGGGCTGGGATGTGGCTCAAGTGGTAGCGTGCTCGCCTGGCATGCGTGCGGCCTGGGTTCGATCCTCACCACCACATACAAACAAAGATGTTGTGTCCGCTAAAAACTAAAAAATAAATATATTTTAAAAAAACCCTTTTTGTATAGTGTAAGGACTTTGCTTTTTACTCTAAGATGGGTGGCCAYGGTGGGTTTTGAACAAAGTGGTGACATGACTGCTTGTAACATGTTCATCTCAGCTGATGTGCTGGAAATTTACTAAATGAGACAAGTGAGGAAGCAATTGAGAGACTTCCACAGGAATCAGGATGTGGGATAATAGGGATATGAACCAAGGTGATAGCTGTGAAGGTAGTGACACATGGCTTGGCTCATTTTTTTTTTTTTCTTGGTACATTTTTAGGTAGAACTTGTAACAGGCTATGAAGTGAAATGAAAAGAGGTTTTTGGCTCTTGAACTGAAGAAGAGAGCTGACATTCACTCAGAGGGGAAGACTGGTAGG